GCGGGGGGGGGAAGCAGCCCATCTTCCTATCGATGCATTGAACTTCAAGTTGACTAAAACCTCTAAATTGTTTTATAACTTTATTTTATTCTAACTGTAAAAATGATATGTGCTCACTATAAAAATATTAGAGAAGACATTCACGCAGGGTGTATAAATCTTAATAGCTCTTACTGTGGTTGTAAAGTTTCTGACACCCTGTACTTGGTTGCTCTGAGGTGTAAAGACAGGACTCGGGCTTTATCCTTGATAAGGCTGTCTGGGCCGGTCCCACCCAGCTCTCCCGTCTCAGAAGCTTGTTTAGTTACCAGTTCTTGCTGGCATCTAGGCAGGGCTCAAAGAAATGCCTGCGGTGGGGCTGCCTGGAGGAAGCGGCATCAACTGTTAGTGGAAACAGAGGCCCCTCGGCCCACGCGTTGCCACACTCCTCTCCCTTCCTGTCCATCCTCTGTTCTAGTCCAATCCTCCTGTTCTTCCAGCCCAGCCAGAGCCCTACCTCTGCCAGGAAGTCTTTGTTCTTTTAAGAGTCTGCAAATGATGCCATTTGGGATCCATGGTATTTGTAGTCTGGCCACACCATTTGGGTCTCACTGTGTCGCCCAGACTGACGTGTAGCAGCACAATCATAGCTCACTGTAAGCTTGAACTCCTGGGCTCAAGTGACCCTTCAATGCTGGCCTCCGAAAGTATTGCAGTTACAGGTGTGAGCCACTTCCCAGGTCCCGAGTTAGAGACTGACTTTTTTTTGAGTTGGAGTCTCACTGTTGCCCAAGCTGGAGTGCAGTGACAAGCTCACAGCCACTACAGCCTTGATCTGCTGGGTCCAGGCATTCCTTCTGCTTCAGTCTTCCAAGTAGCAGGTACCACAGGTGCATGCCATCACGCCCAGTTAGTTGTTTTTTTTTTTATTGTAAAGACGAGTTCTTGCCAAGTTGCCCACATTTGTCTTGGACCCCTGGGCTCAGGCAATCCTCTTGCCTCCACCTCCCAAAGTGCTGGGATTACAGTGTGAACCACCACGCCTGGCCAGGTACTGACTTGCAGTTGTCTCTTCTCTCTTCCCATTAAGTGGAGGGCCCAGCACTTTCTTGCTTCCCTCATGGCCCCCATCCGGCAGAGTCTGGAGAGCATCATGGACCCTTGAAATGTGACTGCTGGCCCAACCCTGCTAGGGAAGGGCTATGCTGAGTGGCACGGGATGCAGTGTTCCACCTGAGCTCACCCGAAGTTGGAGGGAGAGCAGAAGCTCAGAGGGAGACCCCTTCGCCCCCACCCAGCCCATTCCTCCTTCTAAAGTTGGCGCCACAGTTCATCCCCTGGGTTCCCACAATGGGTCTGCATATCTTGGGGTAGTCCAGTGGAATAGGATTGGCCTTTCACAGGGAGGAAATCCTCCTCCCTGACTGATTCCTTAGAGACAGAGGAGGGTTAGGGACCCTTTTCAGTCCTCTGGGCTTTCCACAGGAAGACTTGGAGGTCAGAACTGCGTTTTCCTCTCTCCTCAGCACCCAGTGGCAACCCTTCTCACGCCTCCAGGAACGTGATGCTGATGGCCCAGGCCTGCTAGGCCTCCTCTCCCTCGTCCATCTGGCCAGGCCATGGTGGAAAAACCCTGAGACTCAGAGACCAGGAGCCCCGGAGCGATCAGCACCCCCCTTGCGACTGTAGGTAAGTGACGGGGATAGCCAGGCAACCTCTAAAGTTCCTTGTGGTCTGAATGGCCTGGGGCTCCCTGAGTCCTCCCTGGCTTCTCCCCTGAGCCAGTTGGGTGACTGGCATTCCAGCTTTGCCGCCAGTTAGTTGTGAGATGCTGGGACCAGCTTCTCTCTGCTGGGGTTGGGCTGATAACAGCATCTATCTCAGAGGGGGTTGGATCAAGTGAGCCAAACACATAACACACTTCCAAGTAGGCCTGGCACAACAGTGGCCATCCCTAGGTGTGTGGCCAAAGTGTGACCATCCCTAGGTGTGTGCCTAGAGTGTGTGGCCATCTCTAAGTGTGTGGGCACAGAGCATGACTGTCCCTAAGCGTGTGGTCCCAGTGTGGCCATCCCTAGGCACATGGACAGGATATGGCCATCCCTAGGTGTATGGACACAGCGTGGCCACTCCTAAGTATGTGGACAGAGCATGGTTGTCATCCTTAGATGTGTAGACAGAACGTGACCACTCCTAGGAACTTGGATAGAACATGGCTATCCCCAGGTATGTGGAGAGTGTGGCCGTCCCTAGGTGTGTGGGTATAGAGCACTGCCATCCCTAGGTGTCTGGCCAGAAGTGACGTGAACTTTGCACCTTATTATTGGGGACTGTGTCTCCTCTTATGGTCTAACCCTGGAAGGCTGCTAGGAGGAGGGGACAAAATTGGAATCCTGAGTGACTGCAGAGGGCCCAAAGTTCTGGACTTAATGGAACCATCCAGGTGTAGGAGTACTAGGCAGCTTGGAAGTGTGCTCCCTACTTCAAGAGTAGACATGCTGGACCGGAAGTCAGCAGGCAATAACTGTCCGAGACCCTGGGAAGGTCAAGGTCACTTAATCTAACTGGTTAGCTGCTTACCTTTACCTGGGTCCACTGATAACCATAATGGTGGAAGGATTTGGATAGTTTTTTTTTTTTTGAGTTGGAGTCTCACTCTGTCTCCCAGGCTGGAGTGCAGTGACATGCACACGGTCACTGCAGCCTCGACCTGCTGTGCTCAGGCGATCCTTCCATCTCAGCCTTCCAAGTAGTTGGAACTACAGACGCATGCTATCACGCCTGACTAATTTTTTTTCTTTAATTTATAGAGACGAGGTCTCACCAAGTTGCCCAGGATGGTCTCGAACTCCCTGGCTCAGGCAATCCTCTTGCCTCGGCCTCCCAGAGTGCTGGGATTACAGGCTGAGCCACCACACTCGGCCAGATAGTTCTTTTGATTAATCTTCCTGAATGGGGAAAAAGAGGCCCATAAGACAAAACATTCAGAAACAAAGGAGACATTCGTTCTCAGGTTTTTAATAGTTGAGGGAAGGTTATAAAATAAAACAGACAACACAGAGCTTCATGCCTGCCTCAGATTGGCAGTAAACCCAAGGATACAGAAATGTAAACAAAAACAGAGCTTCCAGGTAATGTTATCATATACTATATACCTTTCAGAATACAGAAGCTTCCCAGACAGACACTCTACAGTAAAGCCCAAAAAGAGTCTCAGAATCCCTCAACACACATTTCGGAGGGCATTCAGGCAGGCTTCTTCCTCCCAGGTCAGCCCGGGACTGGAAATGAGCTGGTGGCTGTGCAGACATTGACCTTTCTGGATAGGGGAGGCCAAGGCTGTTTCTGCATGGAGTGGGGTTTGGCTTCAAGGGGCTGCCCACCTGCTGCGTTCCATGGACCCTCTTTGGAGTTTGTCTCCCTCGCTGCCTGGCAGGCGGGCTCTAGTCCCTGCCTGTATTAACCTTTGACCTCCAACACACACACCTCTTTAGACCCATAACCCCTCTTCCATTATCAGCAGCAAACCCAGCCACGCCAAGACAGCCATCATCCCAGGATGGTCCTCTTCACAGGTACACAGACCCAGCCTCGCCGTGAGAAAATCAGAAAAAAGGCTACAGGTAAGATTGGTAACCACCTAATACTCTGCTCCCTCTGGAAGTTTCTGAGGTATTAGTTATTACCCTTCCCATTTTTTTTTTTTCTTTTTCTGCAGTGCTAGGGCTTTCACTCAACAAGGAAAAGGGCCAGCCTTCTAGCCTGGCCCTGTGCTTATCTTAGTGCTTTGAGCAGTGGACTGGTGTCATACTCACCACCCCGCTGGCAGGTCCCTAGAGCCCCAGCGGTACACACTCTCAAGCCTTGGAGGTGAGTTATTCTACAAGCAGCCCGCCATCAGGATGCAGGCGGGGACTCCAGGCAACCTGGGGCCTGCCTTGAAAATATGTGACGATCTGGGGACACAGAAGATGCGATTAGCTGTTCCCAGAAGGAGCAGGCCCCTGGCCAAAGCGGGCTGGAGGAAGGTTCTCGGGTGACCATCTCAAGAGGTACAGAGAACAGGGGTGTGTTGGGGCAGCCACCCCAGAGCCAAGGCACAGAGGAGGTTGAAATGTCCGGGATAAATAGACTTACATGGGAATGGAGAAAAGCCAGCTCCATTCCTCTCTTAAAAACATTGCCATTGGCACCAAAAATATATTAATATCTGTACATTTGTCATCTTCAAAAAAAGGAAATAAAACCTCCTTGGTATCTTGCAGTTGACTTTTTTTTTTTTTGAGTTGGAGTCTCACTCCGTCGCCCAGGCTGGAGTGCAGTGGCACGCTCATGGCCGCCACAGCTTCAACCTGCTGGGCTCAGGCGATCTTTTCACCTCAGCCTCCCAAGTAGCTGGAACTGCAGGCGCGTGCCACCACGCCCAGCTAATTTTTTGATTTATTGCAGAGATGAGGTCTCATCAAGTTGCCCGGGCTGGTCTCAAACACATGGGCTCAGTCAATCCTCTCGCCTCGGCCTCCCAAAGTGCTGGGATTACAGGTGTGAGCCACCGTGCCCGGCCTGCAGTTGACTTCTTAGAAATGAGGTGATATGTGGAAAGGCCTCCTGTGAGTGCACACACAGAGCACACGTGCACACATAGTCATGCACACACACGCGGCTGTGCACACATGTACCTCTCCCGTTGGAAGGACAGAGGCCCCGGAACCCTGAGCATCAGAAGCCCTGTCGGGTGGGTGGGCTGCCAGTCCCCGACTGCAGTTGCTTGCAGGGTGCTCTTTGCCAGGGCACTTGACTCTCTGTCCACCAGGACCTGCGGCCCCTGCCCTGTGCTCAGAGCCTAGTGTCCTGTCTCCCCCTCCTCTGGGGAGGAAGTCCTGTTGCCAGGGCAACTGCCTGTCTCCAGAGGCAACCAACTGCTTTTCATTGAAGGATGCCTTGGTCTCATCCCTTCTCCAGAAACATGCACATCGTTCCAGGCTCAGGGCAGCCTCTGCCCTTAAGACAGAACGGCAGAAATGAGCAGAGGTCATTGCCCGGCCTGACTGAGCATGCGTGCCTGAGGGGGAGACCAAGGCACAGGGACTCCAGTCTTGATCACAAGTGTTCAGACAAGTGTTCAGTAAGAGGGTGGCCTGGCTGGGCAGCAGGGAGGCGAACCTGGACCCTCTCAGGGCCTCCTGGAGCACGCTCGGGGCTCGTGCCTCTCAGAGGTGGGGGCCGCCCTGCAGCAGGGAAGTGACAGTGTTCTGCAGGGCCACGGCCACCTTCTTGGAGGTCTTGCGCAGCAGCGGGCTGTCGGGGTGGTGTTCCTTCAGGTGCAGGACGTGGCCCTCCTGGCTCTCAGACGTGCAGCCACACTCTTCGCACACATACAGCTTGGCCCGCCGCTCTTTGTAGGCATATTTCTGCTGCACACCGTGGATCTTCTTGAGGTGAGACTCCAGGGAGCAGCGCTGGGTGAAGGCCTTGTCACACAGGCTGCACTTGTAGGGCCGCACACCTGCAGGAGGGACAGGGCCCAGCATCAGAGACTGGACAGGGACCCAGGAAGCCAGCAGCTTCCTGACACACAGGACAGGACACCTGATACCAGAGCCGAGGGATGGACGGAGGCCTGTCCGACACCAGTGTCCCAAGTGACTCTTGGATGAAAATTCCTAAATTTTTTTTTGAGTTGGAGTCTCACTCTGTTGCCCAGGCTGGAGCGCAGTGGCTCGCTCACGGCCACCGCAGCCTCGACCCGCCAGGCTCAGGTGATCCTCTCGCCTCAGCCTTCCAAGTAGCCGAAACTAAAGGCGCACACCACCAAGCCCCGCTAATTTTTTTTTTTAATTTATTGCAGAGATGAGGTCTCACCAAGTTGCCCAGGCTGGTCTCGAACCCCTGGGCTCAGGGTATCCTCTTGCCTTGGTCTCCCAAAGTGTTGGGATTATAGGCTTGAGCCACCATGCCCGGCCTGAAAATTCCTAATTGACAACTCAAGAGGGTTCTGCTCTGAGCTCCATGACCCCCCTCCTGGGCTGCCCAATACTGAGGGAGAGTGGGGGTGCTAGAACCTTCCCATATGACCTCAGCCTGGCAGGTCCGGTGTGCTCCTGGCTCCATCCCTGGGCTTCCACTCACCAGTGTGGGTTCGGACGTGTCTCTTGAGGTCAAAGGTGTCATTGAAGCCCTTCCCACAGTATGTGCAGAGGTGACGCTTGATATCGTTGTGGCATTTCATGTGGCGATTCAGCATGCGTTGGTATGTGAAGGCCTTCTGGCAGATATGACAGGTGAAAAGGTCTCCGCTGGGGCTGTCTCCCAGGGTCACCTGTGGGCGAGGACAGTACTTGTGACAGACATCCAGAAGAAGGGGCTACAGCCTGGCAGATTGGGGGACACAGGTGCCAGCCAGCCCTGGTGCCCCTGAGGAAAGCGGTGCCCACCCTCTGAGGTCACAGCTCTGTGCCATCTGCCCAGAGAGTAGAAGGAACCTCTGGGTCACTAGTCCCTGTCAAGGTTGACACAGGCCTCCTTCACCATCTCTAGGGAGGGGCAACTTAACCTCCTACAGAAGCATCTGTGTCCTTTTTTTTTTTTTGAGTTGCAGTCTCACTCTGTTGCCCAGGCTGGAGTTCAGTGGCCCATTCACAGCCACCCCAGTGTCAGGCTGCTGGGCTCCAGCGATCCTTCCGCCTCAGCCTTCCAAGTAGCCAGAACTACAGGCATGCACAACTACACCCAGCTAATTTTTGATTTATTGTAGAGATGAGGTCTCGCCAAGTTGCCTAGGCAGGTCTCGAACCCGCAGGCTCAGGCAATCCACTCGCCTCAACCTCCCAAAGTGCTGGGATTACAGGCTGAGCCACCGAGCCCGGCCAGCATGTTTCATTACTAGGCAGCGCATCATCAGAAAGTTCTCCCTGAACTGAGGCCAAATCTGCCTCTGTGGTATCTGCTTATTCTTTCTTGTTCAGCCCCTTGGGACAGGGAAAATGCCCATGTGGCCAGCTCTCCAGGCCGACACACTGCTGGGAGCCTGGAGTACCCACAGGCCTGTCCAGCTCCCCAGTTCTGCTTGAGCCAGGTCTGCGAGGCATGGTTTGAACCACTTTGCCATTGTGAGGACCCTTTGGATGTTTTCAGTTATGGAAAACTTCACGTTTATGCAGAAGTGGAGAGACGAGCACCACACTGTCACTCAGGGCCCAGCTTGGATTTTCTGAAACAAACCCTGGATGCCACCAGCCAGGGTGAAATGGTCTCAGTGCTCTGCCTCTGCTGACATTCCAGAGGTGGCTTTGCTCCATGGGTGGTCCTGTCCCTGGCAACTTCTCCTGAGACCCCGGGCACGCATCACCCCGGGAACTCCTCATACAGTGTCCCTCATTCTGTCATGCTTTTGGTACCTGGGAAAGTCCCCTGTAGCTGGCTAGTCAAGACCTTTGGGGTCAGGATTCCTCCCTCCAGCTCAGGAGGACCTGTCCAGTCCCCTCTGTTCTCTCTTCGTGCTCTCTCTGCCCACAGGGCCCGAGGGGTAGGGAAGGGCCCAAGAGGGAATTCGGGACTCCGGCCAATCACAGGCCTGGATCTTGGTTGTTCTCTTCCAGTTACAACCCACACTTGGCCTCTGCAGGTGGACAAGGCAGGCCCAGCGCCCCCTCCAGTTTTCTCTGGTCTTTCTGCTCTGAGGACTGCCTTTCTGCTAGACCGTGTAGGCAGATGCTTCCAGATCCTGGAGCTTTCTGGAGTGCACGCCCCGCCAGGACAGCCCTGCCTGTGCGCTCCTTGGAAGCTGTGACATTTCCACTGCCTCGTGTTCTCCTCACTGCGTGTGCTGCTGAATGTGTGTGTGTGGGGGGGTGGCTGTCCAGGCCATGCCCTTGATGCGAGGCCTGGATGCTGACGGGGGCTGGAAACAGCAAGCTTGGGCGAGGTGATCGCCGGGCAGAAGCCTCAGGGAACCGTTAACCACCGTGCCAGACTCTAGACCTCACTCGCAACAGGGCACAGGCAGGAGCCTGGGAGAGGAGCTGAACCAGGCTCACTCCACCCGCTTAGCCCGGGGCTTGTGGGAAGAGGGGGCTCTCTGTGGGTCCCCTTGCTGCTGTGGACAGAAACCCAATGGGACGACCCGTGGACATGGACCCCAAAGAACCTTAGACGGGCCTCTCCCTCACCCATCTCTGCCCTAGCGAACTTCACTCAGCTACAGAAACCTTGGCCCAGGTCTCATGTGTGCCAAGTCTCGTGGGCTGGACACAGGTCTACACACGTGCCCCGACCCTCAGAGACAGTGTGAGGACTGTTACCTTCATCTTGGTGCGCAGGAAGCCGTGGTCTCGGCTCTGGGGGTCTGTCAAGTGGCCCATGTCTTCAGAGGGCAACTGGGCCACCACGCAGGGCCCAGGGGCCACACTATAGCCGGAGTCCCGAAGGCTCATGTCCAAAGCCAGGGGGCAGGAAGGAGGTTCGGCTACGGAGGGTTCCGGCTCCCGGTAGGGTGGTGGGGGGCAGAAGCCCAGGCTGACTGTGGAGAGAACGGCCAGGTGAGGGGCTTGGTAGAGAAAAGAGGATTCAGGGGATTTCTGGAAGCTTCCCCAGCAGTGGGATGGCTGGAATTCGGAGCTTCTGTCCCTCCCCATGCAGGCATGTGGCAGAACACGGCTGCCCCCAGCCCATCGCGCGCGGCACCTCCCTCCCGCCCTATTAAGGTAATTGCAGGTGACGCCAGCCAAGCGCCACTGCCCGCTGAGTAATTTGTGTCTTAGCGGAACTGGGAGGACCAAACTGCCCTGCCAATTATCCCTCCAGAGTTGCCTGCCTGCCCCACCTTGGACGGTCCCTCTGGATCCTTGCTGTGTCCACTCCTGCGGGGACAAAGTCACCCACCAGTGGAGGCCCTGGGTGCTTGGAGCACAGCCTTACCCCAGAGGGGCTCTGGTGGCATGGGCCACGCCCGGCCTCTTCCCCAGGTGGACTTAGCTGCTGCCCCTGGGGTTCAGGTGGTCCTGGCTGCCCCCGCCTCCTCTGGGCCGGGTGGGCCCAGCTCTGCAGGCAAACAGGCCAGGTGGGTGGAGCAGGGAGGGGGTCAGGGAGGAGCAGGTGGATGCGGCCTAACAGTCTCGGCTGCCTGCCCGGGGTTACGCAACCCTCCCCCACAGCCTGGACCGCTCGCTGTGGCGCTGTGGGGCTAGGCTCCCTCGGGCAGTGGCGGCAACACCGATACCTGGCAGCCCTTTGACGCGGCCGCTCCCCATGGCTGACACCTCATACCGAACGGGCCGGGAGGCTTGGCTTCAGCCCTAGTCCTGACTAGAAGAACAAGGAGAGCCATGCTCTTGAGGGCCACAGGAGACAGGTCTCCAAGCCAGCAGAGCTGGGCCAACGGTCTGATGGTTCAATTTAGTCAGTATTTTTCTTCCAGAGAGTCTAAACTCTTGTACTTAAAACCTATAAGGGGGCAGAGTGTGGTTGCTCACGCCTGTAACCCCAGCACTTTGGGAGGCCAAGGCAGGAGGATCACTTGAGGGCCGGGAGTTTGAGACCAGCCTGGGCAACACAGCAAGACCCCATCTCTACCAAAACCCCCCAACAAAGCGACAAGCTAGGGACGTGCTCCAAGCTTCAGAAGGAAAAATCAAGAGGAGTCAGGGACAGAGAGGATAAGTGAGCTTCAGAGAGCGGGGTGAGGGAGGCGGACTTAGGATTTGGGAACCATGAGCGAGGCCCTTTGCAAACCTCTGCCCCACAGCTGGTGGGGCGGAGAGCGGGCTTGCCCGGGCAGGAGGGCTGCTGCCTCACCTCCTCTCCCAGGAGGATGGGCCCGTGGGGGCAAGCAGGGGAACGTGATCACGGAGCAAGGGAGCATATGAGAGCACCGAAGTTTCGGGAGAGGCCCGGGTCCTCGCCCCCTCAAAACACAACAAAGGCCTGAGAGGCGAAGAATGTGCCTGCTGCCGCCCAGAACCTGTCCTGCAGGCACTGGCGTCCGTCTGTCCGGGGGCCTTTAATGAGCCACCTCATTCTGGGCGTTGATTCACCAGCGCCTGCCCTCTGAGGTGGCGTCATATCTCTCTCCAGGCCAGGGTGTCAGGCCCGGGCTGTTGGGATCCAGCTGTCCAGCCAGCCGGTCCCCCCATAGCGGGAGTTGCCCGTGCCCACGGGGCTGGGGCGGGGATGGGCGGGGTGTCAGTGGCTCCTGATGCCAGCTCACCAGATATTGGAGACCTTGGCTGAGAATTCAAAGCTGATGACAGTCTCCATTTCTCAATCCAGGTGGAGACAAACAAGAACCTCTACCCTCCCCTCCGTCTGTCAGCACTGGATGGCGTGAGCGGAGCCCCCAGCTGTCAGGGCAGGAGACAGCAGGTGTGGGACTGGCTGAGTCCACCACGAGTGGCCTCTGTCACTGCTCCACGCAAGGGAGATGCGTGGTTAGGGTCCTGAGATCCAAGACAGTGTCCTTTGCCTGCCTCTGCTGTTCTACACAAACCTGGCCACGCTGGTGCTGGGGGGACGGGGGACAGGGAGTGATCCTGCCTGGTGGGGCTCGCCGGGCCACCTCTAGCCTGAGTGAGGGACAGGTGAGGCTGGACAGGCGGCCACCACTGCCTGGGCGGGGATGTTTGCCTCATCCCACTCACCTCACCAAACCGGTCTCCCTGCCACCCCCATGAGTATGTCCCTGCCGCACGCACGGGGAGCAAGCGCGCATCGGCGTGCCACCTGTCACTGAGTGTCAGAAGGCAGGACGCAGAACTGGTTGGGCCCTGCCTGTCTCCTAATTAGATGTTTCCGGCAAGGCGGCGGCACTGTGGCTACTTTTCACCCGCCCACAGCCGTGGAGTGTGGCAAGGCCAAACCAGCTGGCCCTATCCCCACTCCCTGGGGACTGCCGGGTCCCCTCCTGCTGGCCCAACCTGCCTCCACCGGGATGATGTTGAGGGCCGCACCCAGAGCAGAGGAATGGGCATCCCAGGCAGCTGTCCATCCCAGGCCCATCTCCTGCCCCGTTCTCCACGAGTCCCCTCTCTTGGATGGCAATCTGCTGGTCCAAATAGTGGACAGAGTGCCAGGACCCCCTGCCCAAGGCCTCAGGACGGGGCTGGGCATGAGGCCTGGTCTCAGCTTTCTGGGGGAAGCCATTGCAGCAGATGTGAGGACGCCCAGTCTCTAGCGCCCAGCTGACCATGGGGCTGGCGCCCACGCTGCCCCACGACGTGTGGTCAACTCAGTTCTGGATGTGAGGCAGGAGCTCAGCATGTCAGCTCAGCCCAGCGGGTCCTAATCAATCAGCCTTGCGCCCTTATCAGGAAGGGCTGGTGCCATCTGCACCCATCTCCTGTGGTCCCTGCAGATCAGCTAGCAATCACCAGAAAGGAGCCAGCACTGGCGAGAGGCGGGCAGTCCCAGAACAAAACAGCCCGTCTCTAGGCCCTCCATGTCCATTCCGTGAATTGCCAGAGGCCCTCAGACCCTCTCTCCTCCCTCCCACCTGCTCTCATTCAGTGTCTGTGGTGAAGCTAGAACCGTGAACCTCTGCTTCTCACCAGGGTGCCCAGTGCTTCCTCGTACCCCCTAGCCTGCAGCCCAGTATACCCCCAGCACCCCAAGGGACCATGATACGGAGGAACCCTGACACTGACAATGGCCGGCTTCCCTCCCCAGCCTCCTTGCGTCCAAAGGACTTTCCCTCTCTGCTCTCTTTCTGGGACAGTCTGGCAGGTTTCTGCCTGGGGTACCCAAACTCAGGACAAACAGCTTAGCAAGCCTGGGTGACAGCACCCCATGGGACAGGTAGGCGTCCCATCCAGCCCACTGCCTGGGACCAAGTTGCTTTTCTGTCGCAGTTCATTCTCCCAGCCTCGCTCCCTGGTGGGCACAGCAAACATTCCATTGCTGCCCAACTTTTCCCAGGAATGATTAAAATAATCATTGGAGGCCCAAGCCCTCCCAGCCTCCCCTCCCCACATACTCTGAGCCCAAAGTTGACGTTATCAGCCTTTCAGCTAGGCTTGAAAGAGCTGCCGATTTCCCACACAACCGAGTGGCAGAGCCAGGCTGAGCCAGGTCACCTGAAGAGCGCTCCGGTATCCTCCCCTCAGCCCCTGGCCTCCCGGGCTTGGAGCCTCTGCTGGAAGAGGGAGCGGAGACCTGGAGACCCGATGGGAGGGTGGGAGGTGGGTGGTTGCAGGCCGGAAGGAGGCCCTGGGATGCTTCTCAAACTCCGCCTTCCAGCCTCGGTCTAGCCTCAAGCTCCTTCCTGGCCTTGAGATTCTACCTGGCAGGGCCCGAAGCCCGGAGGGGCCGGGGCTTGGAGGAACTGGCTTCATCCCGGTTCCTGGAGCCCTGCCCCGGCAGTCCACAAAGTGGAATTTACCCCCTGGGTACAGGTGCGGGAGTTTATCCTCAAGGAACCAGCATTACTCCTTGTTACTCCACAGTCAATATTGACATAACAAAGGAGAGATGAGGGTGGGGGGGAAGCAGGAGCCTCAAGGTGGCTTCCAAACCACAATCCTTTCAAGTCTCCCAGGGCCACCGAGCCTCTTCCCTGGGGAAGGATTCTGCTTCTGCTTCTAGAGGTGGGAACCTCTAGAATTTTGCCTGGAGGAGAAAGCCTGGTGTGACTGTCAGGCCCTAGAGTCAGTGCTGCCAGGCTGGGCCCAGTGCCCTCTCGGCTAGTAAAATCTCTCCTCCTCTGGGAGGCCTCGAGGGTCTCAGCGGAACCTGGCAGGAAGGTCAAAACCCAGACACTCCCATGTTCCCCAGCGCTCCCTGGGGGAACGGGGTCAATGCTTAGCTGGTCACGACGTGCCAGGAGTCTGTAAGGTGTGGTGACGGAAACGTGCCCAGCCGGCTCCTGGGGTCATGGTTGGCTGGTGATGGAATGGCCCAGCCAGGGGACAGGCTACCACAAAACACACCCTGCACTCTCCAGCCACCTGAGGCACCCGAGCGTGAGGCCATTCCCTTTCTCATTTCTAAAAACGGTAGGAAAACTCTAGTGGGTTATGTGGCTTCTAGAGGTAAAAATAAGTTCCCGGCCAGGCACAGTGGCTTGCGCCTGTAATCCCAGCATTTGGGGAGGCTGAGGCAGGAGAATCGCTTAAGGGCAGGATTTTGAGACCTGTCTGGGCAACATAATGAGTTCTTTAGCTTTTTTTTTTTTGAGTCGGAGTCTCACTCTGTTGCCGGGGCTGGAGTGCCGTGGCACACTCATGGCCCCCGCAGCCTTCACCTGCTGGGCTCAGGTGATCCTTCCACTTCAGCCTTCCAAGTAGCTGGGACTGCAAGCGTGCACCACCACGCCCGGCTAATTTTTTGATTTATTGTAAAGATGAGGTCTTGCCAAGTTGCCCAGGCTGGTCTCGAACCTGTGAGCTCAGGCAATCCTTGCACCTCGGCCTCCCAAACTGCTGGGATTAGAGGCGTGAGCGCCCGGCCAAGTTCTTTAACTTCTAATCTTTATTTGACCCCGCAGGACTCTCCCCCCTTGCCAGGGCGATGAGGGCAGATTCTCACCCTCAC